CAACAACTGTATATACAAATGTAAAAGAAATGAAAAGGACTTGTATTGGCTGAATTAAAGGGAGGGCAAAGGGAAATACCTGTATGCCACCTTTTAGGTTAGGAACAAGGAAAAATAAGAAAATGCTTGGGGTAGAAAGAGAGGGAAAATGGGAGAGATGAGAGGGAGAGAGAGAGTTGGAGCAATACTTACCTATACAAAAAGAAATACAAATGAGATATCAGAAAACAATATAGTTGATTACCTATAAGATGAAAGGAGGAGAACTGGGAAAGAAATGGTACTCCTTTAAGTATACCTTTTTGCATATTTGTTTACTTTTGGACACAGGTACAATTTTCATATGTTCCAAAAAAGTTTTAAATCACAAAGAGAAACTAAAACTGAAAGCAAACTTAAGGAAATGAACCTACTTAAAAATATATATATTAATACAAGTAACTCATCAATACAAGTAGTTCACATACATACTTCCATTTATGACAAAATATTTTAAATAGGCTTGTTTTCTATATGTATATGCTAAGCAATTTTATTTATTTATTTATTTATTTTTTAAATTTTATTTATTTATTTATTTTACATATTTTATTGATTTTTTTTGCCCCCCACCTTCCCTCCCATATATCCCCTTTTAAAATGAAGTTTTAAGCATAACAGGGGTAAAATATAATTAAATATATTATGTTATTCAGAGTCAGGATTCACACAGTGGAAGAAAGAACATCCACACATGACCTAGAGGAAGGCAAGAACATGCTCTAAAGGGATGAACTAGAATTGAAGTTTTACAAGATTTATCATGAATTCTAAATATACCAATACATATTTATATTCAAATGTGTGTATGAATATATGTGTATGTATAAATGTGTTAATAAGGAACCCAAACCCAGGAAAGATATTTTTGTGATCTTCTGGTCACAATCTTAGACAATTATAAAGGCACTAGTGGCCCGGTGCATGAAATTCATGCACAGGAAGAGGATTACCTCAGCCCAGCATGCACCCTCTCCAATCAGGGACATCCCTCTCACAATCTGGGACTGCTGTCTCCTAACCATTCACGTGCCTGCCTGTTTTCTTTTTCCTTTTCTTTTTTCTTTTTTTTGCCTTAATTTGCCTTTCTCTGGTGGTCACCTTTATTAGAGGTTATTAATATTGTAAACACATATCTGTTCATTGTGTTTTACCCGATTGTGTTGTATCTTGCGCATTTAAATCAATGCAGGAGAGAGAGAACTACATAACCAGACATCCTGAGAAGAGAGACCATGGGGAGACAAAGAAATCGCCCACATATGAAAGAAAAGCAGGCATCACCAGAAAAGAAAGTAAATGAATCAAAGGCAAGTAAACAATCAGATAAAAAAAATTCCCATAAATGGTTAAAAGATGGCTGAAAAGAATGGAAGACAAATTTGACAATATGAGTAAGAACCAAGAGGAAATGAAGAAGAAGCAGGAGAAATGAAAAATGACATCGCTGCTGTAAAGAATTCAATAGAAAGCATCAAGAAGCTTTCTATTGAATTCTTTTAAAGACAAAAAGAAGCAGAGGACTGCATCAGTGAGCTAGAAGACAAGATGGAAAAAAAAGGTTTTCCAGGAAAATGGAAATGAAAAAACAAACAAACAAACAAACAAAAACCTAGCGTAGCAATACTTATATTAGATCTCTAAGTGAAGGACATAAAAAGAGATACGGAATTCCACTTCATAATACTAAAGGGAACAATCCAACAAGAAGAAATAACTCTAGTAAGCATATACTCACCCAATGTAGGAGCACCCAAATACATTTTTAAAAAACTCTTTAGAAGATATCAACGGAGAGATAAACAGCAATACAATCATAGTAGGAGACTTTAATACCCCATTATCACCATTAGACAAATCCTATAAACAAAAAATCAGCAAAGAAACATCAATCTTAAATGACTCACTAGACCATATGGAATTAACTTACATCTTCAGAACATTTCACTCCAAAGCCACAGAATATACATTCTTCTCAAATGCACATGGGTCATTTTAAAAGATAGACCATATGCTGGGACATAGGCAAAGTCTCTTCATGTTCAAGAAGATAGAAATCACATAAAGCATCTTATCAGATCACAGTGGCATAAAACTGGAAATCAACTACAATAAAAATGATCCAAAGACATCAAAGTCATGGAGACTAAAGAGCATGCTACCAAAAAATGACTGGGTAACCAGAGAGATCAAGGAAGAAATAAAAAAAAAAAAACATCATGGCAACAAATGACAATGAAAACACAATAATCCAAAATCAATTGGACACATGGAAAGTAATCTTGAGAGAGAAGTTCATAGCTCTACAAGCCTACATGAAAAAAACAAGAAACAGTGGTAATAAAATACCAAACCCTGCAACTCAAAGAGTTAGACATAGAGCAACAACAACAACAACAACAACAACAACAACAAAAAAAAGCCCAGTGTAAGCAGAAGGAAAGAAATAATAAAGATCAGAGTGGAGAAAAACGACATAGAGACCAAAGAAACAACAAAACCAAGAGCTGGTTCTTTGAAAGAATTGATGAAACTCTAGCCAAGCTCACCAAGAAGCAAAGAGAAAAGACTCAAATAAACAAAATCAGAAATGAAAGAAGTGAAATAACATCGGACCCTGCCAAAATACAAAGGATTGTTACAGAATGCTATGATCAACTTTATTCCAATAAACTTAACAACCTGGAGGAAATGAACATATTCCTAAAAAAATATAACCTTCCAAAACTCAATCAGGAAGAATCAAAACAGCTCAATAGGCCAGTAACTATGCAAGAAATTGAAGCAGTCATCAAAAATCTCCCAGCAAACAAAAGCCCAGGGCCTGATGGCTTCACAAGAGAGTTTTACCAATCATTCAAGGAAAAACTAAAACCTATCTTCCTCAGACTAGTCCAAAAAATTCAAGAGGAAGGAACACTTCCAAACTCCTTCTATGAAGCCAGCATTACCCTAATACCAAAACCAGATAAAGACAACTCAATGAAAGAGAATTACAGGCCAATATCCCTCATGAACATAAATGCTAAAATCTTCAACAAAATTCTAGCAAATTGGGTCCATCAGTACATTAGAAAGATCATACACCATGACCAAGTAGGATTTATTCCAGGAATGCAAGGATGGTACAATATCCGCAAATCAATAAATGTGATACATTATGTAAACAAATTGAGAGATAAAAATCACATAGTAATAACAATTGATACAGAAAAAGCATTTGACAAAATCTAACACCCTTTTTTGATTTAAAAAAACACACACACACAAAACTCTCAACAAGGTGGGAGTACAAGGATCATACCTCAACATAATAAAATCTATATATGATAAACCCACACAAACATCATACTCAATGGGCAAAAACTAAAACCATTTCCCCTAAGAAGAGGAACATTACAGGGATGCCCACTCTCACCACTCCTTTTTGACATAGTACTGGAAGTATCAGCCATTGCAATTAAACAAGAAGAAAAAATAAAAGGCACCCAAATTGGAAAAGAGGAATTAAAGCTGTCCTTATTTGCAGATGACATCATATTGCACATAAAAAAACCAAAAGACTCCATCAAAAAACTAATAGACTTATTAAATGAATTTGGGAATGTAGCAGAATACAAAAATAATGCCAATAAATCTATGGTCTTTCTATATACCATCTTACATCTTCATGAAGATTAACTTACATCTTTCTATATACCATCTTACATCTTACATGAAGATTAACTTACATCTTCAGAACATTTCACTCCAAAGCCACAGAATATACATTCTTCTCAAATGCACATGGGGGTTGAGGGCATGTATGAGAATGGGTTGTAGGGGGGCAATGTTAAGACATGTACACATATAATACCTTAATTAAAAAATTAGAAAAAGAAAAAATAATAAAAATAAATAAATAAAATCAGAATAAAAGAGAAAAGTCCACTATCTGAGGGAATAATAAACTTCCACTCTATTGATGATATTGTTTTAGTGGGTACAAATGGATACAAAAACTGGATTCTCTGCAGACCCACATATAGCAATTCAGTAAGTCCATTGTTACAAAAAAGGAACAGTTACCTGGTACCCTAATAAAATTGTTGAGTATGGTCTGTAAGAAACATGACATATCATTCCAGAGAATAGCACCAAGCTTTATACATCCTCTTTAACAAATGAAAAGAAGACCCAGTGATTGGTGGAACAATTCAGTGACTTACCCTCTAATAGTTTCCATGTAGAGTCTATAATGGCACCTATCTATAGGGAAACTAGAAAGGTTGCTTTTTTTTTCAGTGGGGCCATAGCCAAGATGATGTCTGGATGTTCTCCAAGAGACCACCAAACTTCCCTTCCCCACCCCTTCTAATATTTTTTTTACTCTTTGAGTTGCAGAACTCAGAAACATGTCTGTTCGTTATTATATGTTTAAGGCCACTGACACAGGTCAGAGACACCCCTGTGGGCTTTCAAACTTGTATCTCCAGGAGTCAGCTGAAAGGTATACACTCTTTAAGAGATATTTACTAACCTGGCCAGCAAGGCTCAGTGGTGAGCATCTACTTAGGAACCTGGAGGTCATAGTTCTATTCCTGGTCAGGACACATGCCTGGATTATGGATGTGATCCCCAGTGTGGGGTGTGCAGGAGGCAGCCGATCAGTGATTCTCTCTCATTATTGGTGTTTCTCCCCCACTCTTTTCTCTGAAAGGAATAAAATATTTTTAAATAGAGATATTTATTAGCCTTTTATAAGGTTTTTATGGATACTGAGTAGTTGTCCATGACATCAGAAATATGAACCAAAGTATATTAATTCTTTTGCCTTTGTTCTATAGTTATTTTAGGTTATTCACACTTCAAATCAAGGTATAAGATATATATATATATGCTTAAGTTCTTATTCATGAATGAGAGAAAATAATCTCCTGATGAGTTTTAAATAATTTAAAGTTACCTATAATTATACTTACTCTTGGATTTTTCCCCTTTAGAAGTTCTGTGTTTCTTTGGTTGCAGTTGGGTTTTTGACATTACACCTTGATGCCCAAGCACAGAATTTTCATCTGGTAATTTACCATGATCTATATAAAGAGAGGCATTTAGTTCAATAAATAAAAAACATATATTGTGAATTCCATGTTTTCAAATTACTGACAAATATACAGCAGCATATTCTCTCATTTTGAAAAAGTTGTAAGTAAATTAGCATAATTTTAGATATGATTTGTAAATGGTGATAAGAATTTTGATGGATGTATATTGAAATTATATTGCTATTTGTTTAATATTCATAGACTTCATATATGTTTCAGTTTAATCTCTTTTAGTTTTTATAATATTTTAAGCTGAAACATAATCATAGACCTACCAATGAAAATTTATTTGCAGAATATTATTCATTAGAGAATATTTGTATTTTCAAAATACTAAAAAAATGTATGTTTAAATGTTGCAGAATGGTTTAATAAACTGAAACATATACTAAAACTATAGTAATATTAACTATTGTCTATAATATGACATAAACAACTGTAAAAGGAATAAAAAATATCCCATCAAATTGACTTGGAGGGATTTTTAGGGCATAATGTTTAGTGGAATAAAAAAATTGATAGGATAACTATGATGTTACCTTTTAAAAAGAAAATAAAAATAGAGATAATTACCTTTACAAAATGAAACAGATAAAAGATAAACTATAAAATAAAGTAGTTCCTTACCAATCATTTTAGACTGAGCTCATCAAATTGCATTCAATGACTATTGTTAGTGCTAAGCATGTCCCTGTTACTGATGGATAGTTTATGACTCAGTGAAATTTTGGGCCTATTTATTTATTTACTTATTTATTCTTTTTTTTTTTATTGATTCAGAAAAAGTAAGGGAGAGGGAGATAGGGATAGAAACATCAATGATAAGAGTCATTGATCTGCTGTCTCAAGAACACCTCCTACTGGGGATCAAGCCCACAACCTGAGCCTGTGCCTTGACAGGAATCAAACCATGATCTCGTGGTTCAATGAAGCACACTGGCTGACTTTGTGACTAATTTATAATGAAAGTATGTAGAACCCTCAAGACATCTTTTCAAGTTACTTGAAAAGGCCATTTAGACTGGCGTAGTTTGTTTTCATTATTAAGAAGGTAAGTAGTGAAACTTAGTGAGGAAATGCATCACAACAGACCTTCCTCATACAAAGTGCTCTAACAGAGGCCACTTTGCACAAGGAAGACAAGGAAGCAGGGAGGGCAATGATGTGAACACTTGATTCCCCTCTCCCTATTCAGTTTCTTTGTCAGGTTGGGTCCACCTATGATGAGTTTCCTGACACTGAAAAAGTTATTTAGACCACCTGTATAGTCACCTGAAAGTTGCCCAATAAATCACTATGATGATCCTTTGGTTCAAAAATCAGGAGTGAGAACAGAGGATGATGAGATTATTAACCAGCTCATATTTCCAGTGTCATTTATGCCATCTTTACTGCTTCTTTAACTCAATTAAAGCCCTTTATAAGGTGAAGTCAATTGGTTTACAAGATAATTCAGATCTTAACTGACACATTTCAAAAAGAAGACATGCAAAACAAAAAACAACAACAAAACCTGCTACTGCTAGATAACAATGTTTGATCAGAATACAGAGTGTTTTAAATATGGCATAATCAGGAACCCACTCTGGACTGGATGGACAATCTGGTTAAGTGCTTTCACAAGTAAATCTCTGCATCTAGTTACTCAATAATGGGATTCAAGGGGATATTGATAAACCCTCTATGAAATAATTCATGGCTAGGTAGTGGCCCATAGGTCACACAACACGCTGCCCAAAATAAAGGTCAAATGGTGGTGACATTTATGACAAATACAGTACTCTTTCTTCTACACTTCCAAGTGAATGTTGAGATGAATGAGAGACTTCTCAGCTTTCAATATAAACAAGAAACAGGGTCAGACCAAGATCCCTACAATCTTACTTGGGGCAGGAGTATATATGTCAAGGTCACAGTTCAGTGGGGAGATAGGTGATAACTGCAGCTGGGCTTTTTGGACACTGGCGCACTTATGGATGTGAGCGCCATAACTACTGACACAAGGATAAATGGGACACAGATGGGACCCTCACAAAATGGGACCCTTACCCAACTCGAACTACGGGTATCTCTTTACAGTCCATGAAAAACCTATGTTGCTATGGTTTCCATTACTAAATATATTGTTGGTATAGATGTATTTTCTACGTGTGCCTCAGTTGCTTTCATCCCTAAGCCCTGATGCTCTGGTGGGAACCGCTTCATGTTAAGGCCATTTTTAGTGGGGCATGTGGAATATTATAAACCTGACAGACTACCATGTACCTTTTCCATCCAAAAATTACAACCTTGTGGATAAAAAGAAATATTTGCCCGTATTGCTGAGCTTAACAAAACAAAATTCTTCATTAAATTATTTCTCCATTCATAAATGCTTTCAGTCTGTGTGGAAGGCCTTGGATACCTAGAGATTCAATTGGTTATATATACTTGGCTCAGTGCCATGTACAACTCTGGACACTAGTTTCACTCAATATTGTGACCTTCACAGAGGTTTATTGCTCAAGATGAGTGAAGTAGGTGTAGCAATTGATATTAGAAAAGCTTCTTTTAAAATCCCTGTTCCCAAAGATAATTAGGATGAGTTTGTCCTATATGGAATAAGTTACAACATATCTTTTTTTAAATTCTTTATTATTTAAAGCATTACGTATGTCTCCTTTTGCCACTCTCATCCCCAGCACATTTCCTCGCCCCCCTAGTGTCGGTGTCCATTGGTTATGCTTATATACATGTATATAAATACTTTGGTTATCTCTTAACCACCACATTTCCCCACCTTCCCTTTGAAGTTTGAGTCTTTTCCATGCTTCTCTGTCTCTGGATCTAATTTATTCATCAGTTTATGTTGTTAATTATATTATACAAATGAGTGAGATCATGTGGTATTTATCTTTCTCTGACATGCTTACTTCACAGACAGCATGATAATAATGCTCTCCAGTTCCATCCATGCTGTTGCAAATGGTAAGAGTTTTTTTTTGTTTTTGTTTTTTGTTTTTTGTTTTTTTACAGCAGCTTAGTATTCCATTGGGTAGATGTACCCTTGTTTTTTAATCCACTCATCTGCTGATGGACACTTAGACTGTTTCCAAATTTTAGCTATGGTAAATTGTGCTGCTATGAACTTAGTGGTGTATATATTCTTTCTGATTAGTCTTTCTGATTTCTTGGAATACATTCCTAGAAGTGGATCATTGGGTCAAATGGGAGTTCCATTTTCAATTTTTTAATGCAGCTCCATACTTTTTTCCACAGTGGCTGTACCAGTCTGCATTCCTACCAGCAGTGTATGAGGGTTCCTTTTTCTCCACATGCTCACCAGCACTTGTCGTTTGTTGTCGTGTTGATGATAGCCATTCTAATAGGAGATGGTACATCATTGTTGTTTTGACTTGCATCTCTCAGATAATCATTGACTTTCAGCATGTTTTCATGTCTCTTGGCCTTCTGTATATTCACTTTTGAAAAGAATCTATGTCCTATGCCCATTTTTTACTGGGTTATATAAGTATCCCTTTTATTAATTTTGAAGATAAGATACTTTTTGGATATAACATTGGAAAATATGTTCTCCGAGGCAGTGGACTTTATTGTTGTTTTTTGATGGTTTCTTTTGCTGTGCAGAAGCTTTTTATTTTGATGTAGTTCCATTTTTTATTTCCTCCTTAGTTTCCATTGTTTTAGGAGATGTATTCGTAAAGATATTGCTATGACATCTATCTGATATTTTGCTAACTGTGGATTCTTCTAAGATTTTAATGCTTTCCCTTGTTACTATTAAGTCCTTTACCCATTTTGAGTTTATTTTTGTGTTTGGTACAAGTTGGTAATCAAGTTTCATTTTTTTGCATGTTTCTGTTCATTTTTTCCATTACCATTTATTGAAGAGATTGTCTTGACTCCATTGGGTGCTCTTGCCTACTTTGTCAACTATTAATTGAGGATAATAGCTTGGGTCAATTTCTGAGTTCTCTGTTTTGTATCATTGGTCTATATGTCTGTTCTTGTGCCTGTACCAGGCAATTTTGAGAAAAGTTGACTTTGTAATATAGCTTGATATCTGGTATTGTGATCCTTCCAACTTTGCTCTTCTTTATCAGGATTGCTGTGGCAATTTAGTGTCTTTTTTATTATGAATTTTTTGAGAGTTTGTTCTAGATCTCTGAAATATGCCATTGGTATTTTAATGGGAATTGCATCGAATCTGTAGATTGCTTGGGGTAGTATGGACATTATAATGATGTTGATTCTACCAATCCATGAACCTCTTATATACTTCCATTTGGTTATGTCACCTCTATCTCTGTATTCTTTTTTTTTTTTTTTTTTTTTTTACTTTTTAAAATCGAGTTTATTTAAACAATACAACAAAATTTAATCAACAATATAGTTGCCGTTGTTTTCTACTACTTGTGCCCAACGCTCAGGAAGCATTTTAATCCCTCTGTTGTAAAATTCTTGTGATTTTGATGCAAAAAATTCGGTCAATGCATTTTTGAGGCATTCTTCATTATTAAATTTTTTTCCAAGAAGAAAGTTTTGCAAAGAATGAAACAAATGGTAATCGGAAGGGGCAATATCAGGAGAATATGCAGGTTGAGGGAGAACTTCCCATTCCAACTGGCGCGGTTTTTCAGCAGTGATTCTTGCAGTATGCGGTCGTGCGTGATCGTGGTGAAGAATTACGCCCTTCCGATTAATCAGCGCAGGTTCTTTTTCTCTTAAAGCTTGGCCTAACCTTTCCAATTGGGCACTATACACTGCACTTGTAATGGTTTGGTTAGATGGTAAAAGTTCATAATGAAGAATTCCTTTAAAATTCCACCAAACACACATGTCCTGTAGTTTTCTAAATACAGGTATTTTATCTCCTTAGTTATATTTATTCCTATGTATCTTAATTTTTCTGTTTCAGTGGTAAAGGAGATTGTTTAGTTTCTCTTTCTGTGAATTCATTATTGGTGTATAAAATTTTCTGGGTGTTA